TCCTGCACCCCCCTCCCCTCCGGCACCCTCACCTTCAATCCCAGGTAAATTTACGGTAATTTTTCCTTAATATAGTAAAAAATAAAAAAAAACCAGTGATGATTAAATACCACCAAACGAAAGCTCTGTCTGTCCCCAAAAAAATGGTATAAAATTAACTTTAGTACAGTGTTGTATGACATAATAAATGTCAGTAAAAATGCTGCAGTGCTGAATACTGAAAAATGGCCTGGCCGGGAAGGGGGTTTAAAACCCCGGTCAGCAAGTGGTTAAGGAAGTTTGATAACACATAGCTAACCTTGAGTACACAGATGAAGGGCAGGTTTCCCCGACCATACTATTCTTGCTATCCAACTTAGAAAATTACAATCTACAGTTTTGTACCGTTGTTACCAACAATATCAAAGGAATCACCAATCGCTGCAGTGTGGCCCAACTGTAAAAGGGCCAGTTATTTGGGTTTGCCCCCCAGGCTGTGGGACAAGATCATCCAGTGCCCAGGGTGAAGATTGCAGTTTGCCCTCATCCTCCAGCAGGCATCCGTACACTGGAGCTCTGTTCTCAGCGGGTGCCTCTCTCCCTGCTCTCTTTGCCCTTGGTAGGCTGGTACTGGAGCAAGGAGAGAGCAGAATCCTCCCTCCAGCGGCTATCACAGCCCTTGCTCTGTTTTGCCTGACAAGAGTGATGCTGTCAGTCAGTTAAGCAGCTGGAATGCTGAGCGATGGCAATACAGAGCTCCATTAATTAATGTCTTTCATATTTACCTGGAGTTTAGTTTTAAGTGTATGTATAACAAACTGGACATGTGGTTTTTGAAGAACATTTTGTTATGTGTATATATATGTTTATGTTATACATTTGAGCATACTGCATGTGTATCATCAGCAGGATTTTTCTTCTTTAAGTCTAGGTCTTGAAAGACAACAGGTACACTCCCTGCTGATAGCCCCTGAAATCTGCAACAGCATCCCTAAAAGTTGTATGAGAATGCAGCATGATTAGTATAGTTAACAAACAGTTGTGTAACTACAGAGGTTTGGCTTTCACTGTGTCATCTGCAAAAAGGTGATGACAGCCAGACACGTGATGAGAGTTGCAAACAAGCTGTTTGTCATTGAAGGTTACTGTGGCAGACTAACAATGTCAGATGACCACAGAAATATTGGAAACAGGTCAGCTTGGGTGACCTTGCAGTGTGCCTTGAAAATAAATAACACAGGTAAATTAGAGCAAAATCAGCTGTTTTTTGTAAAAAAAAAATACATGTATATGTATATGTATATATATATATATA